GAAAAACTTAAGAAACAAGCTAAAAAAAAAATATATTATTCGAATCTTTTAAAAAATAATATTGGCAATATTAAAAAAACATGGAATGCTATAAAAAAAGCAATAAGAAAGGAAAATATTGATCCAGGTAATATCCTGCCTAACCATTTAAATACCGATAACAAAAGCATTGTTATCAATAATCAAAAAACATTGCTGAAAGTTTCAACAACTATTTTATAAACACCGGAAAGACACCAGAAAGATACCAAAAAGTCACCGGAAAGACACTAGCTAATAAAATAATTCAAGTAAAAAAATACTTATCATTTATAAATGTAGAGGACTTTGTAATGGACAAGTTTGACTTATTTTCTGATGAGCTTCAAAATACTTTTAAAATAATACCGTCAAACAAGAGTCTGAGACTTGATGACATAAGCTCTCAGGTGGTTAAAGAAGTTTATGATGTTATTGAATATCCTCTACTGTATAACTTTAATCTCTAGTTAAAAAGTGGAGTTTTTCCTAAAAACTTAAAATTAGCAAGTGTAGTTCCGATATTCAAAAACGGAGATAAATCTTTTTTATCAAGCTATAGACCTATCTCCATACTTCTATGCTTCTCAATAGTACTAGAGCGCATAATGTACAACGGACGTTTTACATATCTCTAGAATAACAATATCTTTTTAGTAACCAATACTGTTTTAAAAAAGACCATTCAACTAAACATGCAGTAATAAAGTTATTTAACAAAATCATGATAAGGTTTAAGAAAATTCAATATAAACTTGGAGTATTTTTCGATCTATAAAAGGCTTTCAATACGAGATCCTTCTATACAAACTTAGTAATTATGGTATAAAAATAAAATTTTTATTGGTTTAGTTGCTATCTAAACAATCGGAAACAAGCCTTATATTGCAATAATCAATTATTATTGTTCGCTTGAAACATTCCATTGAAACAACACTTTCCTTGAAACCATTACTTTTGGGGTTCCCCAGGGGCCCATTCTAAATCTTTTGCTATTTCTTATTTATATCAAAGACATATTTTTATTTTTTTGTATATAAGTGAACTTTATTCTTTTTGCAGATGACATCAAACTTTCTTAACCCACTCGAATAATAATACTATTTCAAACATAGTAAATCAGGAACTTTAATAGTTGAACGATTGGTTGAAAGTCAACAAACTTTCCTTGAACATCGAAAATAACAAATACATCCATTCAAGTCAGACACATTACCACTAAAACTTTCAAATATTTTAGTTGACAAAACAAAACTAAAAAGAGCATTTTTTGTGAAGTTTCTAGGAGTAATACTTGATGACCATATATATTTTCTGTGAAGTTTCTAAGAGTAATACCAGATGACCATATTAGCTGGAAAGAGCACATCAAGTTATTAAAAAAACATATATTATAAAAAAATATTGAGATTATGCATAAAACTATATATATTTAAAAAAAAATTTATTTAAATAAAATAAAAAAAATTTGAATAAATTTATTTAAAATATACTTAGTTTTTTGTATATTGCCAATATTTTTTATATTATATATATTTTTTAATAACTTGATACGTTCTTTCCAACTAATATGGTCATCTGGTATTACTGAAAAGAAATTTCACAGAAAATGCTTTTTTTAGTTTTGATTTATCAACTAAAATATTTGAAAGTTATAGTTGTAATGTGTCTGACTTAGATGGTTTTGTATAAAAGATGTATTTGCTTTTTACAAATACTTTTTGCAAAGTATAAGCTTTTTACAAATACTTAAAAGTGTTTCGAAAAAGTTTATACTTTGCATTTGTTCATAACTACATTAACTAAATTAAACTGCAATGTTATCTAGGCAAGTACTTACCAATCAAAACTAGTTTAAGCTTATAAAAAACAAAAGCAACCACGCCGTATTTAACAAATGGAATACTAAAGTTACTAATGGAGTACTCAGGGCGGATCCACAGGAGGGGCGATAGGGCGATTGGTCCCTCCCTTATATGATTTGAAAAAACTTTTTTTTTGTATTTAGTATTTGTAGTCTTTTATAAAAAAAGCATACTTGATTTGTTGATTATTTTAACAACCTATATTACGAATTCTAATTTATGATAACTCGACTTTGTATAACGGTCAATCACTTTTTTAACATTTACTGGAATTTCTCTGTGCACATTAAGTAAGGTCGATCCGACCAGGCTGTTTTCTGTCATTCGTGTTCTCAGCCAATTTTTTATTCTTCACAAGGTTGAGAAGCTACATTCAGCACTGGCAACATTTACAGGGCATGACTTGATGCTTTGAAGCAACTTGTGAGTTATTGGATATTGCACCTGGCCATACAAATCAAAAACAACAGAAAGATCAGTAGGTAGTGATTTGATTACCCCCACAAAATTTACCGCCTGGTAAATTTTGAAATTAACGGTTTTATTTAATGCAATTTTTTGTTTGATGTAAATCTAAACTTTTTTTGAAAAAACTGATTAACTGAGCCCATTTGTTAAGGAGAACATATCTACTGCACAGCCTTAAGACACAATAGAATCACTTTCTCTAATTGATAATAGTAAAATTCTTGCTTTTGATGAAGATGTTCTGTCATTCTAAAAATTTTCTTTCTTTGATGCTATGAATGAATGAATGATGAATGAATCTGCAACCTAAAAAGATTAATTCTCTTTATTTCGTCTCGAAAAATAATAATAACTATGGAAACAATCTATAACTTTTTTTTTTTTATTGTAAACTGATATTAAACTAATATTACAAAACTATTTAAAACTACTGAAATCCAGTAAAATCAACAAAAAATTGATTTAAAATGATTTTTATCTTTAAAAATCTAAATAGTTCATTTAAAATTTATAAAACAATTAATATTACCCTGACAAACTGAAAGTCTACAAACAAAAAAATTGTATTAAAGCTTCAACTGTCATAACGATCTCTTAATTTATTGATTAAAAATCGATAAATAAAGTATTATTTTTAAAAATTTATATATTTTTAAATTGCGCTCGAACTATTTCTACAACCCTTTGACTTTATTACTGATTAAGTGAGGCAAAAATTAAAGTTCCTATCAAGAAAACTTTGGACTGTTTTGTTATATCACTGCAATATCAAGCTTGCCACATTTTATAAGATAGGTTTATATTGTTATTTTGTATTTTAAATCCCATCGAATCAAACACAAAAATCAGTGTAACCTATAGCAGTATAGTTTATCTAGCACATCAATATAGCGTGAACACAAAACTAGTACACCGAAAAAAAACTTTAAACCAATGTTACACATGCATGTTTTGAGGAATAATTTTCGAAATGTGTCAAAACGTAGAAAATAAGGCGTTTTATTAAAAAATACAAAATATGGCCATAATTCTTTTTTTTCAAAAATACATGCAAGTATTCTAATCAAGGCGCTGTTCCAATTATGGCAACAGCGACAACCTATATACATGTGTGTGTGTGTGTGTGTGTGTGTGTGTGTGTGTGTGTGTGTGTGTGTGTGTGCTACACATATCTTATAATTTGTGGTTATTTTTTGTTTTATTGATATTGATTGTATAATATAACAGAAATCAACAGGGCCAACGACAAAGGGGCATGTACCCTCCCCCCCCCCACATACTTTTTTGTAAAGGACCTTTTTTTTTTTAAAAAAAAATGAAAAATCTAGATATAGTGGACTTTATTTAGAAATTTACGATTGACCCCCCCCCCCCACTTCGAAACTTCTGTCGTTAGAATGTGTTGAAGTTATTTAAAGAGTATTGTTTTAGCATTGAAATAAATAAAAAAAAAAAGTAATAACTGACAATCACAAAAATTGTATGTTCTGAATAAAGAAATTGTTAATAAAGCACAAAGGTTATTTAACACGGTGAAATTGACTCAAAAACCATTATTTTTCAACGTGCAGTCATGAGAGTGTTTCGACTAAAACATAAAAATAGCTGTAATCTGAGTTGCATTGTTAGACCTAGAGCAACGCCGAAACATTGAAGAAAATTTATCTGGTTTATGTCAATTTGTACTCGAACTGCTTCTAAAAATTTCTAAGAACTTAATTCAATTCATGACACCCCAATATCTGTTTCAACCGATGAACGATGTTGAACAACTATAGAATATTCCAATAAACACTATTTTTTCGTGACTTGTTACATCTCCGTTTTTGCCAAACAGTTTGCTTAGCTAGTTTCTAAATTGCAACTTGTTTTTGAGATCCTGCAGTTGCATAATATTTGCAGTATAGTACCTTTTTTCAATTTGAATATACTAACTATTTGTATTTTTTCAAATGAGAATGATTTGGATATCATTTCTTTTAATATGAACTGAATGCGGCAATTTGCATTTCACGTATACTTAACTGAAGAAAATTAGGCAACTAATTTTATCAAAATTATGAAACCAGACTAAGAGATTGAAAAAGATCAGGTTAGTCGATCAGTATTAAAAAAAGATTGGAAAAGAAATTACATAGATAAGTTAAGTAAGACTTTGTCATCGGTTGTCTTTTTCCCCTATACCCCCCTGGAAAAGGACGTCATAAAATAACTCCTAAAAAAATTATTTTATCTTGCAATGTTTGAATCTGCTGCTACACCTTTGAAAAATGAAATTAAAAATATTCTCATACATTATCTTCTTAAAGACACATGTTTACGTAGTTTTCCATGATAATTAAACTAAAATAGAAAATCTATAAAGTGACGTCCTTTTCTGACAATCTCCGCCCCTCCCCCTGTCCTTTTTAACTTGACCTCCTCCCCCCTTATTTGGATGACGTCGTTTATGGATGGCCCCATAGAATGAAAATTTACTTTACCCTAGACGACAAAAAAACTGTTGCTTAATTTATTCCTTTCCTTAAAAAAAACCTCAAAAAAATAATATAAAAAAAGCAGAGCTTTAACAACAAGATAAATTTATTTGGAGAAACTGATACTTTTTTATAAGACGCACAATTGATTTAGGAAAAACAAAGAAACAACTGATTTGAGAAACATTTATTCTTTAACAGCATATTTACGGATACCAAAATGTCTCAATTTTTTGACCTGTCGAACAGTCTTAAGACTGGCTTCGTGTTTGGTTAAAGCACGTCGCATAGCACGAGTTTTCTTTGATCGCAAGTCCAATGGTTTGTATTTTTTATTGGCATAGAACTTCTTTAAGTTTTCCCTTTGGCTTTGTGAAATAACTGTTAGCACACGGGCAATTGATTTTCGGAAAACCTTTCTAAATAAATATATAAAAAAAGAAGGTAATACTAAATTATAACTACAATTAAAAACAAAACAAAACAATATATATATATATAAATATATATAAATAATAAAACCTACATTTTACTAAGTTTAGATGGTGCACCTCCTGTAACCTTATTTACATTGAGTTGCTGAAGCTCAGTTTTCAATTCATTCAACTGATGAAGAAGTTCTTCTTTCTTCTTTCCTCTAAGTTCGTGTGCTTTTACTTTAACCTAAAAATGTTAACATGCTACAACTTTTGATCCTGAAACCTAATTATTATAATTAATTATTATAATTCACTCATTTGTGATCTGAATATCTTCACTCTTCCTAAAAATAATTCTATATAAAACATAGTAGTATATACATATATAATACAGTAGCAAGCTGGGGGTAAAACTATTGGCTCACATTCAAAATAGCCGAGGATCAAAGCCACCTGCATTTTTACTATTTATTATTCAAAAACATTGACAAAAACTTGTGAAAAGAAACAGAAAACCACCACCTATAATTTAAATAAATTATATAAATAAATTTTTTGTTAGGAGGGGAGGGTGGGAGTTGCTTTTATCCTTCTCGCCCTTGCTGCAGCCTATTTAAATATATATCCGATATATTATGAGACCAGAAGCATAAAAATGAAAACTTTTTGTAAAATTCTTGACTGGACCGCTTATAACTGTTTTTGGATTTAGATTCAGCATTATTTTTTTTAAATTTAGTATAAAAACATCAAAATTTTAATTTTGGTTAATATATATAAGTTAATATATTGTAAATAAAGCAAAATATTGTGCAAATAACAGCAAAGTTCTAAACAAAACTGTTTTTAGCAGAATGTGATGAATTAATAGTAGTTTCATTAAGCAATTCTTGTAACCAACTTTTGTTGCTTTAATGTGTAACTTTTTTTAAATTATTACTTTTATGAAATTTTCACTATTGAAATACTTATTTTAGTCTCTTTCTAAAGATGTATAATAATCAAGTATAAAACAAGTAGTAAACTTTAACACACTTTTTATAAAATAAAAAATATTAGGCACTATTTTGATATTAAAAACTATTCAACATCATTTTCTTTAAAAAATTAAAATCTTTATAGTCTGCAAAAGACATTGGAAAATTCATAGATAGTGCTAAGGCATGCTAGCAACTCTAAGCTAAATATTTATTTTGTTTTACATTAAAAAACGAGAACGCAGTAAATCCCAGAAAACTTAGTAACTATGTAACTTAGTTAACTTGTCACTTTTTCAGATAAGAATACTACATTGCTCTTTGTTTGAAAATTGAACATGTTATAAAAATAATATAATATAAAAAATGCTGTACAAACTATTTAAGTTTGGTGAGTCATAACAACCTTTAAATGTAAGATTTTATTAATAAAATAGTTTATGAATATTGTCTGGTATCATAAGTTCAGAAAATTGTTAATTCTATTTTTAAATGTTTTTATTTACAGAATTAGTTTTATCTTGTAATAAGAAATTTGCAATTGTCTACCACTCTATTAATTAAATATGCATATTTTAAAAATAAATTCTCAATGAATTTGTTGAGACGATTCCTGGACATGTGCCTATATAATCTCAAAGGCTTCGTAGATCAAATATATTCAGCTGAATTTGATATTTTAAAGGACTTTAATAAAGCAACATCAAGATACTTTTGAGTAAACAACACATTTTAACCGATATTACTCTGCAAAATATTATCTTATAAAAAAAACTAACACTATTATTTAATATAACAAGTACCACTTAGTAAACTACAAAAAAATTTAAACATGGTATAATGATTATAATATGATATAACTGTGCAAATATTTTTCTTGAATTTCCTATATTAGAATTCAATTTATTTACTTGAATTCAAGGAGTTATTAGAAAAACTAATTGAACAATTACATTTATATTATGATACATTTGTATCATTACTATAATAGTAATGATTTCTTTGATTTAACTATACTTATAACAATAATTATGGGTAATATCATAAACCTAAAAATGTGAATTAATTTTATCAAATACCTAGACTTTTTATTACTTGAAAGTTATGCAATTTGTATATTTATACGTTTATAAATATTGTATATAAGTATTGTTAAATTGATATTAACCCAGAAGGAGCAAACTTGCTACGAACCATTAAAAAAAAAGGTTGTGCTTTCTACAATGTTAAAGTTAACTATTTAAAAAATAAAAAGACAATTAGAATAAAGAATATTAAAATTAATATCTAATTTACCTTTATTTAATTACAAATGATTTATTTATTTTTATTGGTCCTTGAATAAATTTTTGTTATAAAATTATAAACAAATATTGTTTAATAATTTTGACATAAAAAGTCATGATTGATTAACTTGAATGTTTATCACTAAACTCATCAACATCAGACTATCACCATTGAACTTAAACTATACAGTATAGTCAGAAAATGGAACTGTAGGAATATAATGTAAGCTTTACTCGAATATTAGAGCCATATTATTTTTACAAAAAAGTAAATTATATTAAGATAAATAATGATAAAATATATAGATACCATTTCTTGGCCTTGGAATTTCTTTCCTTCTTTAGCGACAGTAATTAAAAGGACCGGCAACCGATAATATAAAACAAATTTAAAAAATAAACCATTTTATTAAACAAGAGTAAAAACTTAGGTAAAATTCAGAGCGGGATCCAGGATTTTTTGATATTTGTATTAAATACTTCCGGGTAAGTTTAAACTTTAAATTTTTTTATATTCATAATTATATCATATAAGATTTTTTTTGCCAGAAACTGCGCTGTTTGGTGCATGGGAACAAAAATTATCTTAAAAAGTAAGTATTACCCGCTTAAATAAGGAAAATTAGTAAAATCCCCCAAATGCAAATGGTTGTCTGTGATGAAAGCGCAAATTTTAAAATTACAATTAAAAAAATAATTATACTTCAGTTTCAATTATCAACTAATTTCTAAAAATACATATTTCAAGACATTGTTTTAATAACAATATGTATAGAACGTTGAACAGCAACCAACAAAAAAAACAACAACTTCTAAATAAAATTCTTCGTTCTCATCTTTTCAAACAAATTTACCACAATGGTATTAAACATTTTTTTTTTTGAAGTACATTTCATCAAATAACAAAATTCAGTTTAAATTTATTTTTTCTTCTAATAATAAATATGTAAAGCTTTAATCGGTTTGATTCCACCTTAAGTTTATGCTTTTATATAAGAAAAAGACGGAAAAGTAAATTGCTCTAAAAGCAAGTTGTAGGCTTGTCTAGAAGTATATTGTAGAATCAAAGAAAAGAAAATAAGTTTGTTTATAAATAAATTTATACCAATAATTTTTAAATAAATTTATAAAACTTTAAAGTTCACCACCAATGTTTTTTCCTTTTTTTTCTCCCGACTTCTTATATAAGAAACTAAATTTTCTAACATGATTTCACTTGTCAGTATTTAGTTTAGTTTAGTTCAATGTTCAATAATTTTGAATATTTACAACTCTCCATAAAAGTTATCAAAGTATTGAAAAAACAATCTTTGATATCAAACAGTCTTCGGTACTGGTACACATTTGTCACACAATTAGCATATCGTAAGAATATACTAAAAGACATTATGCGTTTATGTTTCTCGTTTACCGATTTAAATATTCATCCAGACGATTTTTAAACAAGTTAACCAAAGTTGCGTCAGTTACTGTTTGCGGCAGGGTATAACACTGGGACAAACACTATTTGTAAAGAGTTTCTCTCACTCTGCATACAATCCAGTACTCGTTGCTGTGCCAGTCTTTGGTTATGATCTTGCATAATGAACTTTAGTAAAGATGGAAAACTCAGTGATACGTTAATATCCTCAATATTTTCGTATTTTTACGTAGTGAAAGCAGGGCCGACGCGAGCAGGTGTCACGTGGGAGTGCCAGTACACTACTTGTTGACTAAAAAACAAAATAAATGTGCCGACTATTTTGTCTAAAGGGTCTATATTTGCCGACTGACATGTCTAAAAGGGTCAAATTTGCCGACAAATTTGTCTAAAAAGATCAAATTTGCCAACTAATTAAACAAAAAACTCATTGATAGGGGGAGGGGGTGTAACACTCTCCCTCACCCCTCCTCCAAACAAGTGTCGTGTAATTAAGATATAATGATGGTAAGGTCAAGAAGAAAACAAACATGCCTCGTTACCATTAGTACACGCAATCTTATATAAATGCATTGAAAAAATAAAAACAAGAACAAAAAGCAAAAATTATTTAGAGGAATTTGCAAAATATATAAAATCATTCGAAAAATGCACTCTATTTTATAATTCAAAATATAATAGTCAAAAGATGATAAAAATCAAAAGTTCAATGAAATGAAAAAGACTACATTTATATAAATTACTTACTTGTAAAATACTACTTAGAAGTTACTTTTGTGAAATAAATATGGTGTATATATGAAAGTCTAATCAGCTTTGCTACAGAGCGTAATTTAAAAGCTACCCTTACATCTAACTTTAAGTGAAGCGCACGTATTCAATCAGTAGGTTCGAAATCTCTACAATTTCATTTCCAATTAATCAAAGTGTTTATATTACCACACCTTGATTATGCACTTTCCTTATTTGAAAACTGATGCATCCTTGATTGTATAAGTTCAACAAAACGGATATCAAACGTGAGACACCATCAATCTTGTTGACGACTAAAAAATTTCTACCACTACTTTTTTTTTTGGCACTAACGGTGCAATCTATTCCGAATCTAGAAACTATAACACATCGGTTTAATATAGTTAATGATATATATCTTGCAAAAATTATTAGCTCTCAGTCACGTCATTAAAAAATAAAGCTAATAATATAACAGATAAACAGAATTCTGTAAAGAGTGACCAGAGCAAGTAACTTTTTATTCCGCTGTACATCAAAACAAATATTTATAGCTATTCACGAAAGTCTAAACGAGGGTGGAACGAGGTCTAGTTTTTTCTTGATAAAAAAAAAATTGAAAATGATGTTGACTTTATTTATTAAAGAAAAAGTAATTAGGTTTACAATAAATGTGAACTTCTTATGAAATTATTTATATCAATTAAAAAAAGTTAATTATAAAAGTACACATGTGAAAAATGAGCAGCACAAAAGTTTAAACAAATTTTTACAAACAAACAAAAAATGGAAAAAAAAATGCAAAATTATTATTTAAAATATCTGGCTTTGTTTTTATAGCAAAGATAAACTCGTTTCTGCATCGGTTCACTAAACTTCATGCACATCTCTTGAGGTACCATTAACTAGTACTCATTCAAAAATTGCTTTAAGTGGTCAGTTGATCGTATTTGGTGATAAATAAGTTGATTATCAATCCAAGACCAAATATTTTCAATCGGATTAAGATCTGGTGATCAAGGGCACCAAGAGATCACATTAACCTTTTTCTGTAAAAAATATTTTTTGATTGATTTAGCTGTATGAGCTGGAGCCCCGTTTTGTTGAAAGATGAATTGCTTGCTTTTACCATAAAACTGTCGGATTAATGGAATTAAACACGTTTCCAATATTTTTTTGTAGGTATACTGATTTTTTCGGCCTTTGTACAGCTTACGCATACCAATACCTTTATGAGAAAATACCAATCGAACCTCCACCGCCTTGTTGACGTGGTTGCAAAAACCGTTCTGAATATTTCTTTGTTGCAAATCTTTTGACATATATTCTTCTCTTGCGGTTTACAACTTAAAAATTAGCTTTATCACTCCGAATGACCTTTAACCAATCTTCAACAGTCCAGTCTAACTTTTGACCATATTCGCCGTTTACGTTGGTCCATGATTGATAAAATAGGTTTTCTTGCTGTAATGTACATTCCAATACCTTTTTGCAACAATGTTCGCCTAACGAGCTCTTTGCTTACATTATGATTATTTTTTGACTCGTTAAAGATTTGTGCTAGCTTTTTATAGCTGCGCCTAGAAATCTCTCTGCAGATTCTGAATATGCTACTTTTGTCCAGGTCACTGACCTTCGATGGTCTTCCGGAACGCGGCTTGTCAACAACGTCCTTGATAAACTCCTGGGTTTTGACTGTTTTTCATACGTAAGATTCAGAACCCTAGTACTTTGCCTATTTGAACGTTGCTGTTAATTTTTGACTTAAACCAAGCAATACTTTACCATTTGATCTCACTTGAAACTGGTTTTCGCCCCATTTGCACGCAATTGTTTGAAATTTGCAAGATTTCAGTTGATTTTCCTACTTGATCAAAATTACAGACATTGACCTACTTCGATAAAAGTTTTGTATGCGCTAATGTGATATTTTCAAGTTATGTTCTCAAGAACTGCATTTTTTAATTTCAGTACGCATTAACTTTTCACAATCCGATCACCGATAATAAGCCTTTGAAGCGCTAGAGGGATTAGTGAAAGAGATGCCTCTGTAACAGCAAAACCCACAAATCTCCACAACGCACCACTTAACGTGCTTAGTTTTTTCCTTCATGTTGTTGCAATATACTTCACAGAAATTGTAATCGTTTTTTGTTTTGATAATAATCTGTTAAGAATTATGCAAAATTGATTTATGAAAATAAATAATCAGCATTTAAACCAGGTTGCAAAATAAACAACAATGTTGGAGAAATTGTTAAGAGAGTAAAAGAACTAATCCTTTTTAGACGGAAATCGTGACAGAGTGCAAGAGGTTTTGGAACTTCTACAGCGTTTTTATGTAGCCGACAACAACACAATCTTGTTTATATTATAATATTTACAAAAATTAAATAAATAATTATATATATTACTTATAACATTTAAAAAAATGTTTTTTCATAAAACTAAAAACTCTTGTAAATATGCCTCTCTTATGTAAAGTTTTACATTTATTGTAATCTTTATTTTTATCGGTGTTCTTCAAAGAACAACTTGAGTCGTTTAGACAACTTTGAGTGGTTGATAAATAATATTCTATTAGAACATCGCACTCTATTTTACTAACGTGTGATGACAAATTTTGAACAAAAGTTTCATGCAAGGATTTGCTGCATTTTTTCTTAATAACATCCTGATTATAAACCATGTTATTGGCGTTTAAAGTCAATAGACTGTTGATCAACGGCAGCTATGCTCTAACATCGACGTTTTTTGATTGCACGCGAACTTCAGATAACGCTCTACTTTTTGTACATTTTAATGTTGATAAGTGCGGCGAAGAAGCAAATTTTTCTAAAACGTTGTTTTCTATAAGAAAAAAAAACACAGCAAATAAAGAATAGTTTTTTGAGGCTTTACGTTTTTAATCCAAAATTTTAAATAAACAAAGAATTTGAATATATGTCAAGAAACCTACCTGCGTTACAGTTGTTGTCAACAACAGTTTTTATAGAACTTTGATTACCGAATACACTTAAGGTACATTTTCTTTGAGTATCATAAATAGACATTTCATGAATGTTAACCAAAGAATGAAAAAATGGAAAAGAAGCTCTTTCATTTACAGCTATTTTTTTGAATAGCATTTCAGACGCTGCACGTTTTATTTTATGAATACATATTTGAGAAACTTCATTAGCAACTATATGTTTTTTGCTTTTTCTTGTATACCTGCATTCTGCTTTTAACGGCTTCATATCAAAAAGTTTGTTTAAATCGAAATACGGAGTAGTTTGAACGAGTTCAATGTTTTTTGAATAAAGCAGGTCAC